GGAGCCAGAAGCGGTCATCGGAACCTTGGGCAACCAGGGTGTTCCTACTCAGTACATAAGGATTCTTCCTTAGCTCTACAGCAACTTTACAAGGATCTCACCATCTACAAGGAGGTCAATATCGACGTCAAGAGAGGGATCCGACAGGGCGACACCATTTCGCTCAAGCTCCTTAGGGCCGCTCTCGAGAACGTCTGCGTCAACTGGAATGGGAAGACAACTGTCAACTGGAAGGGAATGGAGTGAAGGTCGACGGCCGGCAACTACACTACCTTCGTTTTGCTGACACATCGTTCTTATAACGCCGAACATCGAGAAAGCGTAGCGAATGCTGGCTGATTTCGACTGCGCCTGTGGTGCGATCTGCGGTCTGCAGCCAAACCTAACGAAGACGATGTTCATGAAAAACGGATTTCTTCCTGATGCCCCATTCACGCTCAACGGAGCGAGCATCGCCGCATGCTCCAGCTACGTGCACTTGGGTCGGGAAACCAATATGATGAACGATCTAGCTCCAGAGCAGAGCAGGGGCTTGGGGAGCGTACAGGAACATCGAGGGTGTAGTGAAGAAGACAAAGAACATCCGGCTACGTGCCCACCTCTTCGATTCCGCAGTCCTTCCTGCAAAGACCTACGCCTCGGAGACTTGGACTCTGCGTAGGCAGGTCGAGCATGCGGTCAGCGTTATTCAACGCGCTCGAGAGGACGATGCTAGGAGTAACCCTATACACGCAAGTGCAGGGGATAATGCGGAGTTTGTACTACCCCTACGATTGGAGATCAGGGACTTGCCGTTTTCGCCATGGAATTGAAGATAAGGACGGCCGGTCATATCAGGCGATTTTGCGATGACCGTTGGACCAGAGCGGTTACTGGTTGGATCCCTCGTGACGTCAAACGAACACCTAGACGACCGCCGGCCCGATGGTCAGACTTTTTCACGAAAGCTCTGAACGGAAGGATCAACGGTTTCGTGTTCTTCGAGCGATGAGGATCTAATGGAGCACACTAGCGCACAACAGGAATGAAGACGTTGCTGGCGTCCGCTCGAGCATCAACGGGACGACAGGTGGTACAGGTGATACCGCATGAGCTGACCAGACGATGACGTCGCCGTACTGTAGTGTCACCTTAATTTTTATCAAACGAGAAAATGACCAGCGTTTGCATTGCATTGCCATCACATCTGACACAAAGTGCCCAAAGTGGAGGCTCACTCCATTTTAGGCAACACTGGGGAACACTAGGTATTCCGCTCCATAATTTTGCCAGTAATACCCTATAGGAAGTTTATTTATATGACTCGAGTTTTTTTGGGAGTTAGAGAAACCTAAATTCAAATTCTCCTATCGAAGACGTCCTGTGTCTCAAAAGTACAAATTCACTCGGCTCATTTTGCTGTTGTTTCTATTAGGCGTTTTAGAAAGTTCTGTTGTTTCCGACACCGAATTTTAGATGCATGTATCTGGGCACGAGGTAATCCTTTCAAGCTGATCAAAAAAATCATTCGAATGCGCGAAATTTTTCTATAAGAACTTATTCTACGGGGAACGCTTGTTCAGAATTCTGGAGCTGTTGAGGCAGTGAAGCGAGGGAAGGTCGTTTTGGCATCATATTGTGTTTTGATGCATTTCTCTTCAAGAATGCTATCGGGATTGTCAAAAATGTGACAGTAGATAGACACGTCTACTGAGTGAGATGTTTGCAGAATCACTCTGAAGTCCAGCTGGTCCAGCTTGTGAAGGGTTGGCGGTGCGATGTACGTCCAGGACACCTTTCATGACACCTTTCCTTCACCTTTCCGATGTGTCCACCCTTTTATAATGAGGAATGCTGGACACGTCTCTTGAAGTTTCAGGTGAATTTTTATGTTAAAGCTGCTTTTCCATTGTACAGTCCCTACTTATGAGGAAAAACTAGGCCAGCCGTCGACCTTGGAAGTTGCCATAATCCTCCTTCAGCACAGCTTAAGTTTGGCACAGTTTGTAGAGCTCTATCGCCGTCGAGCTATCCAGCAAAGCTTCGTGTACCTTTAGAGAAGAATCCGCTCTTCAATGTACGCTGCAAATCTGTAGAAAAACGAGTCGCTATCCTTCTATTTTATGAAGCGCTAACTTTGTGTGTCGGTTTGTATGTCTGTATGGGTGTTGGGATGGATGTATGTGTGTCCGTCCGCAAAATGAAGTGAGTGAGTGATAAGGCAGCTAACGGAATAAACAAGCTGCCAACACATCTGGGTAGCTCGCAGGATTTGCGCTATCGATGTTTTGCACAAGCATGATTGTCGTAACCCAGAACGGCTGTATAAACACACACTTAGCACACTTTCGGTCATTCCACAAGGTGATGCTGTGGTAGCCGGCGAGCAGAGGAGAATGAGGGGTGAGTAAGGATAGCAGGAGAAGGGGAAGCTTACGCAAGGTAGGGTGGTTCAGGCGTTTGCCGTGGGACCAATCTGGTTATCACATAAAACACTACAATTGATAGACGACCTTTCAGAATGGTGATTTGTCGCGGCCGCCCCTATCAAATTTTTTGGACTTTCCAGCTACTTCCTTATGGCTTGGTTCTACAAACCATATACGCCCAGGTTGGGCAGAACCTCCTCTATGGTCTTGGGCACGAGTGCCTTAATCAGAACTTTTGGCTAATATGTGGCAACGTCCGATATCTGACTACAACTAGTATCATACCCAAGGCTCTCGCTTTCGTTACGATAACTTTTCTAACTACTGCATATGAGCATATTTATTGCGAATCTAAGTCAAGTGCATCGTTAATATTCTGAACTGTTCCCGCTACTTTCAGATCTATTCAAAGCTAGACAAGAAAGTCATGCCAACTTGCTCATCGAGTTTACTGCATTCAGAGTTTTAAAAAAGCTATGAGAAAATGTTCTAGGAATGACTTTCGCCACGTTTCCTTCTTCGCATGTTCTGCAGAGATATGTCAGATTGAGCATAATTATTGGAATAAAAAAGGTTGAGCGTAATTACTGAAATTAAAAAGGGCAGAGTGAGGCTTACAATGATGGCACAGTCAGCGACCGCAGATGGGAAGTTTGGGAGGTACCAGCTCGAATATTTTCCCAACTTGTATTGAGCATTTTAAGACGGAAGACTAAAAATATGCCAAGGGGTAACTGCTATATTTGATGTGAATTTTGATAAGTATTTTGGTAAGAAAGTCCGGATACCGAAGTCAATCTTACTTTTGGAACACCGGGCTTTTCGAAAAAAATTTCAGAACAATTATGGCTGCTTTTGTTTCTGAATTTCTCCACAAAATATCAACACAACTCCTCTAAACTTTTGCTGGTAAAAATATATCAGGTCGGTCCATAATTTTTGAGACACTTTACATGTATTGATATAAAAACCTTTTGATAAGTATTGAAGCCTTCCAAGATGTCCTGCAACCAGAGTCAACCGCGTTTGTCGCAGTTCTCACGGTCACGTTGCGCAGTTTCGCCCGATTAGACACGTTCTCTCGTGCTAACATTCACACTCGCATGCTCGAGCCGTCTCCGTCTCCGCCCATACAGCGTGCGTTGAGAATCTCTCAATGAGCCGTTGCGAACTGCGCAACGCAGGGTTGACTCTGCCTGCAACTTAGAATACAAGCTCGCCTATTCGACAGGCTAGCCACCTCGTTTGCTTATTACCTTCTTTTGCTAGAATTACAATTTCTTTGAGACCTACTTTTGAGTCTCTTTCTTCATGACCACCGATTAGAATCTTCTACGCGCTAGACTATAACGAGGAGTAACCAAAATACAGTTGAGGGCGCTCAATCCACTGGGCACCAGTGGTTATCACTGCCCAGAGTTCCCTCCCTTTAGTTGAAGATGATCCACATTACAGCAACGCGACTGGCAATCTTGATGCTCTAACCGGTGCCACTGAAAATGAATCACAAGGTTAGCGCTGCTAGCCAGTGCACATTTGGTGTGACAGGACGGAGTACTGCGACAACTCGATAAAGTCGCTAAAGTAAAAATATGGAATCTGTCTCTCATATGCTCTGAGCCCTTATCATCTCTAAACCCGATCTGACATCATTATGTTCCTTTTGGTTTCTCTTTCCTTCGAGTGACCATCCATCATGCTAATTAGGTGTTGTGAGCAGGGTGCAGTGTGCTGACAAATTCACAAGCCAGTAGCTTAGCTCAAACGATTGGGGAGTTCTGACAGCAAAAACCAACTCCCTATAAATTCTTACTTCCTAAGTCGTTGGCGGAGTACGAGAGGGGCTTTGCGCTGGGAATCAACACTAACTCATATCAGTGTCAGCGATGAAGATAATCGTGACAGCTTGATGGTAATGCCTTCAACTTGAAAGCAAAGTAAGACAAAATCTATGTTTTTTTGAGGTCGTTCGACTCCACCTTGTGGAAAAAGTCTTGAAAAATTGGAGAATCCTGCGCAGCCAGTTTTTTTTAACCCCGCCTTTTAGCACTAACCTTGTGCCAACTAACGACTATCCGCCCTCCTCTCGGAATCACCTTCCGGTGAAGAAATCTTACTTAAATCGCCCTAATGTCAGAATCGACATCCATTTTTTCTTCGATCAGAACTCTATGAACTTCTACAAGACAGAAAATGAACTCCTACCCTCGCACTGGTGATATGCTGGTAATAATGGTGATGTATACTGTGCTGAATAAAAACATCAAAGAAATTAGCTAAGTAATCAAATTGAAGAACACCGGCTCTCAAGAATTATGGATCGACCTAATAAAAGAAATCATTCATTTGCTTCAGAGATGTATGTAGATGACAAGTGGGGTGAAGGTTTACTTCGGGTCACACTGTATAAACGAGTATTTGATAGAACAGGTTTGCCTCGATTTATGCTACACTTAATACGGAAGTGGAGTAATACACAAACTCAAATAATTGTAGGTTACAATTGTGAGTGTTACACTCGGATAGGAAAATACACAAGAAGTAAGTATTGTTTCAAGGATTTCTATTAATGGGTGTCGCTCTTCCCTGCGATCAGTGCAGGCAGTCGCGTCCTTCACCAGGGAATGCTCCTGCCAACTGTATTGTCCCAGCGTCGTAGATTTTGCTTGGTATCTAAACATAAAGTTACTGAACTTTGCAGTGAAGTGAGCAGACACTGTGAAGAATTGTTGTGGAATCTGTCTCGCCGGTCTATGCCATGCGTTCGCTTTGCCTAACACTATCCAATACTTAATTTGACAGATAATATGATACAGTTAGTCCGATGCAGACCACAAAACCCCTTATTGCACGGATTTCTGCTCAGTGAAACAAAAGACCAACCAGTGAGGTTGGAGCACCACACGGTTCTCGTAAAAACTGCAAAATTCACATCATAGAGGCACCATCTTGGATTGCGTCATGCACCCAACTTTCATCTCAAAAAGCAGTTGCTTGTATGTGATGTGTGTGTAATCCCGATTTTCCGAACTGGCTGCTACACAGAAAAATGGCTCTCAGAACTTGGTCCAGAATGCGAAATGTACTCAACCTAATCCACTATATTAATAGGTCAAAGGAATGTTGTTTTCCGAAGTCCTAAATTCTATTTTGTTTGAAAGCGCTAGTTGAATGAACTTGCTCTTTTTGCGCTCACTACCCCTCCAACTGAAAATCTTTGACTAGTTTTGAGCCGGAATAAAAGGCCTATCATGTGACATGTCCCATTTTAGAGGAGATGTTTTGTAGAAGGTCGTGAAGATAGCGAAAAATTTTCCTTACTGACGTAGACCACGGTCACCTTTCTGCAGGAACTATATGGAACACTTGGTCCGAGCGCTTCTCCTGTGGCGTAGCCCCAAACATCACGCCTCGCCATGCTTTTGTGAACTGATCAGATTTCTTGCTTTTCAAGATGGACTTAGAAAACTGAGATGTGCACCAGCCAATTCCCCATGAAAACACTGTCGAACGGTATTCAACACTGTACATATGAAAATTCGTTTTTTCACCGTCTTCGGCCTTCAAATCTTTGCCGATCGGCTTCTCAGCCCTTTACGGCCAGGTGCGATCCACGTGCGCGGTGCGTGGGAACTCGCGTGACGGCCGATGGCCTTCGGCCGTAATTAGCAATACGTCGCTATGGCTTTTGCACGAGCGTGGGAATGGCGTCACGCACCGCGAACGTGGATCGCACGTGGCCGTGAAGGGCTGGAGAATCCCATCGGCAAAGGATCGAAGTCCGAAAAGCAAAAAATCTGATCTGTTCAGAAGAGCATGACGAGGCGTGATGTTTGGGGCCACGCCACAGGAGAAGCGCTCACCTACGACCAAGTGTTCCTCATAGTTCCTACAGAAAAGTGACCGTGGTCTACGGCAGTATAGAAAATTTGTCGCTATAATCACAGCAGGGTCAACCGTCAGGTTGGACCAACTCTGAACAATTTACGACTCCCCCTCGTAGCGAGCCTCGATACGACCCCCCGCCCCAACACTTCATTATGTACTGTACCCTTGAATTCGTGTATATTTGCGTACGGCTTCGTACAACTGCATCGAGCGTAACTGAATAGATTGAGCGCGGTAGCTTCGTGTTCGCAATTGCGCGCACGACCTTCTCCTCGGCCCAGCGCCGGATGGATCGAGGCAGACTACTGTCGTGCCCGCAGGTCAGTGGAGTGAGAAGCGCATCGGTGAACCTGACGAGACACACAAAAAACGTGGGATTCCGGTGGGTGCCCACAACACCTCTGAAAGGGAAGAAGCGTGCAGCGAAGAATGCTGGAAGACCGAAGTCCTTGATGCCTGCCGCGGGTTGACAAGAGGCCTTGCTTCCCTGAGCCCATAGGGCATGAGCATGCTGGCGCGTGCGAATTACTAGTAGTGCGAAGGATGTCGAACTGCCGATTGAACTAGAAGAGATCCAAGATGACACGAAGGATCGACTGGGCGAAGGATAGACGGCGGCGTGTGCGCGGCGTAGACCATGTTAGACTTGACTGTTATACACCTAAATATTACACTTCTTCATATCGCCAGAATAAACACTACATAAAAACTGTTAAACACATACTAGAAAAAAATACACGAAAAGAGTCTGTATTATGTAAATCCTATTGTGAGTTAAGGTAGAGGAATACTAAAGTTGATTGAGACTACGCTAACTACTATTAGGAAAAGTACTACTAAGAACAGTTAAGAGCCTAAGTGCTAACTCCCATATTGACTACTAAGACCTAAGGTAAGGAAGAAGTGGTGACTACTAAAGGCTATCCCGGCTAGGCGATTAAGGCTAATATTTAGATTAGTATATAAGATATAAAGTCAAACTAACTATAGTATAGCAGGCTGGCGTCATCGCATGAAGATGGAATAGGAATAACAGCGATGAAAGTCCGATAACCGGAGAGGCGAATAGAGGCGACCGCTCAGGATGATGCAATGCGGCGAAGAATGACGTGGCTACGGTTCGCGCGCAGTTTGAAGGCGCAGGCAACCAAGGTCCTGTGCCGATGGCGCGAGTTTGAACCGGTATTTCGCCTTGCCTCTGTACCAGCTGCTTTAGAGCACCTTTACTCGAGGTCGTGGCTGTCACGACAACTACCAGTTTTCAAATAAGTGTATTTCTGTCCAGCGTCACCATTTTTCAGAACACCATGGGGATTTCTAGTCTGCAAGAACGCTACTTTCAGAAAACTACTACATTTGTATCTTCAAAACTGTGTTAGTTATGGGAAAGAGAAACAAAAATTCTTAGAAATTCGCTTTTCTTTGTTTGAAAGATTGCAACTTCCTTCAAGCGTGGGAGTGAGATAAGTGGTATAAAAATTTTGAAAGTGCACATTGTTTTCTTCCTAAAAAATGTTTGAGCTTTTGCAAAGTCTTTTTTCTACAAAAAATCGCTCCCTTTAACCGTTTTTTCTCCAGAACCGGGTTTTTGGCTTTCAATGACTTCAACTTTCCTTGGAATAAACCTTTAGCAATCCTTGCTCCCCTGGGATAAACTCAAAGGTTTGAGCTTTTACCGAATACTTTAACTTTTTCCAAAATTGATGGAGTCAAAAAATCGCCCCGTTGGACCGTTTCGGGGAAATCGCGGACCGATTTTCGCAGAGCGCTGGTTTTTTGGCTTTAAACTGTTATAACTTTTTTCATATACAACTTTTTGCAATTCTTTCTCTCTGGAAGAAACCAGAAGGTCAGTGCCTTCCAATGAATATTTTATCTCGTTTTCAAAATGACCGGTCCAAAAAATCGCCCCGTTGGACCGTTTTTTATGCATTTTCGGAGATGCTCTCCTGAAAACAAAAGTTGTCAAACGTCGAACACTAACAGTTCTCTTCAAGCTCAACTTTATGGGAAATAATGATGCCATGACATCGCACAAACTTTGTGCTTCATAACAACTAGTAAATCTTTTTCGCCAACAGGTAACAAATTTTTGCAAAAATTTCTTGTTTAACAGTCAGTTTACCCAAGTGGTCACTCTTATTACTGACTTTGAGGAAGCGATCACGCTGGTTTCCACGCTGGATTTGCTACCCTTGATCAAATGATAAGGTGTGAGGCAGTAATTGTTTGACGAGTGTGAGCCCATGGAAGATATGATACGATGAGATAAGAAGGTGCGGCTGCTTGATAAGATGGCCTCCAGAATGAAAACAGGACTATAACGATAACGGTATCATATCTAGCACGCTCTTATCGCACCCCTTTCCACATTGATAAGTCTTTGTTTTTGCTGAACGGAAGTGAATTTCACTCCGTTGGTAAGGCGCCACTGCCACTGAAACTTCACATGTTCTAAGAATGGGCAGGACCCCTATCCACTCTAGTACGCAGCTTTCCCTATTAGAATTATCGTGACCACTTCCTTTAAGCCTAGTTTGAAGACAGTGATTCTTCTGGAGAGCATATTTGTGTACGTGAACAGTCAAATATGGAGACTTCTGCAGTAGAATCTTCTGCTCTGATGTGCGCCATGCACTCGTTTGTGGTTGGGGAAGCACTCGAAAGTTATGCCCCTCATTTACGTATTGCGACGTTGACCTTCGCGAATGCGACCCCCACCCCACTTTCGGTTGGCCAAATAAGAACCCCTCGTTGGACTTTGTCCAACGGACGGTTGACCCTGCCTCACAACCTCCTACAAAACATCTCCTCTAAAATGGGACATTTCACATAATAGGCCTACTATTCCGGCTGAAAACTTTTCAAATTCAGTTGAAGAGAGCGCAGAAAGAACACATTCAACCAATTAGCGCTTTCAAACAAAATGAGGATTCAGGAATTCGGAAAATAACATTCATCTAATCTCACAATGTAGTGGATTAGGTTGAGTACATTTCGCATTCTAGAGCAAGTTTTGAGAACCATTTTTTGTGTAGCAGCCAGTTCGCAAAAGCGGGATTACATGCACATCACATGCAAGCAACTACTTTTTGGGATGCAAGTTAAGTGCATGGCTCAATCCAAGATGGTGCTCCTAGATGAATTAAGGACCTCTTATAGAACTCAACGAGCTCGATCTTCACAATCCGAAAACACGGCGAGTACCGTGTTGTCGCACTCTGAAAATCTCAGTTTTGAATTGAGTCATCACAGAAGAACGAAGAAAACGCGAAATCGCGTTTCTCGCGTGAATTTTGCAGTTTTTTACGGCGAGTACCATATTTTCTGCAAATCGGTATTCGACGCAGCAACGCTCGACTTTTTGAAATTCACCATGCTTCAATTTGATTTGCGGTTTCTATAGAATTCGCTTGTAAATATTCGTCTGATTTTCATTTTTTTCTTTGTAAAAATTCTGCCACCATATTAACTGCGCACCCACTGTTCCGTGAGAACTTCTCCTGCAAAAATGTTCCTGCCACTCTACACTTGCCCAAGGTCAAGCGTGCGTCAAGGAATCCCTGACAGGTCACGGGGGGGGGGTTGTAATGGTCCGCTTGAAGGAAGAGATCGGACCAGATTGATGCAGTAGGAACATCGTAGGAGGACAAACATGAAGGATCGAGTCGATGCCAGGCCAGAGTATTTCCAATAACAATTGATTCCGCACACATTCACTGTTTTATCACCACACAAGATAAAGGAATTTAGATAAACCGAAATTTACACGTTTTCCGAGCGATATTTTTCATTTTTCAAGTGAGTCCTCAAATCTGAAGGGATGTGAAGCACACGGCGCATCCCAGAGTGGGCCCAGTTGGTTGCGTGTGCTTCAGCTACGGCTCTCTGGAGAAAGAATCTCAACTCAAGTGAAATCAAGAGGATTCTGAAAGGGTTCATGTAAAATTACAGGGAGAAGTACGCCATTCAACAAGAAACGTAGCCTTCAGCGTCAAATTCACGAGCATGTAATCGTTAAAGTTGAGACGCTGAACAATTTGACATTTTTTGGAAAGAGAAAGCACGAGAATTTTGAATCTGCTCCTACTTTGGTATGTTATGGCCCCTGAAGGGAGCTTAGTCGTTGAATAGTGCTAATGCAGTAAAAAAGTACCTTTCGGCGGCACTCGGCGAAAATCTTCGACGTAGCCATTTTTTAAATAGTTAAGGTATATAGCAGTTTAAGTAACAGGGAAGAGCAAACCTTATAGTTTATGATGACATATTATCTTTTCGGATTGGATGAGTAAGAACGGAGTTATGGCTTTGGAAAACGTAAAAGCTCCCACTCATCACGAATTTCCTCGTTAATTTTGCAAAAATCCTCGAGGCTGTTTTTTACTGGACGTATGCAGCTGCTTTAGCAAACTTTCAATAGAAAAATTTTTCTAGCTTACTCAGAACGTTTGTCGAGAATGAGGCAAGTTATGGCTTCGAAAAACTCGTCACGAATTCTCCTCGATAATTGATCTAAGTCTGCTATTTCAGATGAGTTTTTGTTATATCAGTACTGATTAGAAAGAGCTCTTTACAAAAGTCCCAAATCTGCTTTCGGGTTGGAAATTCGTCATATTTGAAGAAAGTTATAATCATTTGAATACTTGTCAAATTCCAGTAGTACACTGGTGTGCAAAACTTAAGGACGAGATAGATAAATTGTCCTAACTTATTAACAATTAGATGGTATTGGATGAAACTGTACGGACATAATGCTAGAAGCTCTCCAGTCATGGACACCGAAGTAGGCCTCATATGTCTTGCTTCCGGCTTCAATCTGGAGCCTAAGTGGGGTGGCCACCCAGAACGATGGGTATCGTGGGGCAGGACAAGAGGGGTGAACTAAATAAGCAGGGAGAAGTGACTGTGGAATGTAGTGGTGTTCTTGATTACATCAAGTCTCAGAGACAACACTAAGGTGACTTTACGCGAGGAAGAATCATTGGGAAACTGAAAAAAGGAAGTTGTGTCCAGGAGTTTTGTGTCAACCACAGCATTGTTCTTTGTGCATGAGAAGCAATGTGGACCGCAGCCACTGCTGTCCCGAGAAGAGGAGGTTGTGGGTCACGAACAACCGCAGCAGCAGGTGATTGCTGGGTTTTGCTACAGGCAAAAATGGACCCACGTTAGTCACATGCTGCAGTTGCAGAAACATTTATCAGGATTGTAAGGCATGTAATCCCAGTCCGCACAGTGGCGCAGTGACCGCATAGAGGTGATCTCTCTCGTCGACCAACAACACCTGCATTCATTTGAAATCCAAGCCTCGGCTGGGACATTTGGTACGAGCCGAGACATTGGAGAAGGACTACCGAATTGAAAAATCGCGTATTCTTCCCGTTCAAAAGCAAACTGAATGTGAGTAGTGATTCTAGGCTTACCTGCATATACGGAAAATAGGAACGTGTAATCTACCCAGGACCATCGTTTAAGATGATTGTTTTGATAGTGCATGCGATAAGGTGGGGAGGCATAAAGTTGTCGGAGCGTACTGATCCCCAACTCATGATCGTGTTACACTTTCTGATCAACGTGATTGTGGTGTTGTACCCTTCTGTCATGTGCATCTTTTCAAGGGTTCTCTTGCCTCCAGCTTCAATCGTATGGAGGGCAGTGTGTGAGAGTATCGAGCAGCCTGGATGGAAAACTCTTGAAAAGTGAGGATTTTCGGTAATTGGTGAAGCCATTTATTTCCTTCAGTCTAATTCCAAGGAATCGGTCACTCCTCCTCAAGAACTCTTAACTAATCTTACGGCCTGTATGGGAACACGTAGCAGAGCATACTTTGCAGTCCGTAGTGTTCACACACCCATCAAGACCCGCTCCTCTCTTTTGAATGTCTACCATGAGTTGGATAAGCCTCACCTATCGACCGCTTCGGACAGGGTATTTGCAGAAAAATGTCTTCTCCGATCGCCCCTTTGCGCTTTTCTGTTAGTAACTCTCTGCACTGTACCGCAATATTTACTTCTATATTTGTGCCATTTGGTCCATCTAGGTTAACTGTGAGATATCATGTGAAAGTTACTTCCGTCCTTAAGTTTTGCACACCAGTGTAGATAAGCTGCTTCACGGTCAACGACAAAAATCAGTAAGCATCAGGGTGAATATCGGTCGAGGGAATCTTGGACAGGAGGGGTCGTACTTGTTAGCCTGGGTCATGGGGGTCGTACTCGTGTGGGGGACAGTAGCATCAGTGGCATCGTGGTGCAGATAGGAGTGAGAAAACGAAGATAAGTGATGAAACATGATTCAAAATATTTTTGCACGTTCAGTCGCATTATTCCTCTACATTTATGAAAACGGCGTATTTGAAAGCAGTAGAATGAATAAGCAGAATGAAACTGCATCTTCGCAAGGAAAGGTGCCACAGTGTACAAGCGCGGAAGCCCCTCCTCTTCCACCGCCCGCTCTCGCCCTGCCCTACCGCTGAGAATGACCCTTTTGATAAGGACGCTGTCCCAAAACGACAATAGTGAAGGAAAGACGCCAAGGAAACCAAGATATTTCTTAGGTTGCAGGAGTTTTGAAATGTGTTTACTACAATACAGTTTCCGTCAACAGGTCATCATCATATGTGTAACACCTTTCAATAGATCCTACACTTGAGTGGAGGGTCGGATGCATGGCCTATACTAGACGAGATTGGACGATGACGATTGCCTCTTTTCTTATTGCCTATGTTGAAAGATTGTATTCTAGACACATTTCGAGCGTTCCCAACGGATCACACCTGCATATTGAAGAAGGGAGCGGATTTTTGAGCGGTCGAGAATCATCCTTGAGGTTACAACGGTTACCGAGGGAACAATCTAGTCTATCAATGAACATTGTAATAGCCTTCCGCACCGAGGACATAACAAGAATTTGCCATGGGAAGCTTGTGCATGGTTGAAGCTTGACTAGTCCTTGACAGATTACGGACCATTTCGATGTTGTCTGGAACGCTGACCGGAAGGGGTATTGCCTACCTAGAGCTACTTTTCTTTGCTTCCTAAGGGCAAAGTGTGCTTTTTGGAAACGGTTTAGTACATGTTGTAGGGACGCATGTATGGACCACAAAACCATGTTTCGTTTTCGCTGAGCGGTTTTAGTAGTACCAAAAAAGTGGTGAATAATACTCTTTATGGTTCAATCCTTCGCGGCGACTCAATTCTGCAATCAAGGTTGGCGGCCACTTGTTGGCTTCAAAGTGGTTCTGACGATGAATTTAACATTTGATTTTGATATTTACCGCGATTTAGCACCAAACCGTAGGCTCCAACACAAATGCAAAATTTAGTCGCCATGGGGATCGAAACCTTAGCAGTACCTTATGCTTCTTTTATGGTACTGTCATAACCGTTCAGCGAAAATAAAACATGGTTTTGCGTTCCCTGCATGCGTCCGTACAATATGCAGAAAACCGTTTTGAAAAAGCGCATCTTGCCCAGAAAGACCTCCCTTGTTAGTGCTGCAAGTCTTCCATACGTTGCAAAATCTTTGAACTATCAAATTTGCCCCCGATACGGTTCTTGCACTGGAGGCTCCATACTTTTCACACTCGCCGGAAGTTGCTGAGCGCATCGGCTCCCGCCGGCGCCGTAACGTTATCTCGAATGCTCATGGCGTAACTAACCACGAGGATGTGACGTGGATTTTCTGGGTCTGCCTATAATGAAGGGCCCACGAAAAATAGCTTGCATCCAAATGTTCGCGATCAGCTCAGCCAGTTCCCACCGGCACCTGGAGGAACAGACCCCACCAGAAAAATAAATGTCTTGTTCGCGGGAAAATGATTGACAATCTGGTTCCTATTCTGATTAACATTCCGAATGATCCTACTACATATAATTCGTTAGGTATGTCTGTGCGTGTGTCTGCAGGTCTGTGTGTGAGTTTTAGGTTATAACGATTACGGTGGGCTTCCTTGACAACGCTTATGGAAGATGACGTCATGTTTTGAGGACGGTGAGGGCTGTGGGGGAGGGCCTGCTCTTACTTATGGGAGGACATCTAAGGGATTCTGCCGTAAAAAAAATTCGCCAATAACGGTACCTCTGCAAAAAAGTAGATACCTCTGCGCCATCGGCGAAGTTTTTTTTACACCGCTGTATATCCACTTGCCCACGCCTATCACCGGTTTTCGGCATTTTCCAGAGCTCTGCATGAAGTAATAATGTGGTTACTGCATCTTGCGACACCCATCAGAAGCTTCCCTCGGCAATTTTTTCAAGAGAAATCATTTTGAAATTTTATCAATCTGGAGTGTTTGTTGTCCTCGCAAAATCTGGTAGCCATGACCTCACTATATAATCAGTAATTAGCTGCTATATCCGGCTTCATACCTCAAGCGTGACAATGCAATAAATATAATAAAATCATGTTACAATTCTGAAAAAAAAATGGTGTGATGAACCCACCTTTCCATTAGTGATGTACTTGTCGGGCAGTTTGATGGTGAACTTTCGCTGGCATGGCTTAAATGACAGAAAAATAAACAGCGCTTATACAACCGTTGTGAACCTAGGTGAGCGAAAAATAATATGAGTTCAGGAAATGTTCATTGCAGAAGCCAGAAAGCTTCCCGTGTGTTGCAAGCAATTGCAGCTAAGATTTGTGAGTGCGTCCGGCGCCTTTCCCATGAATTGCCATGTAAACCCGTCTTGGAGCACGTTAGGCACCTAATATGCTTGAAGATAAGGTGTTTAGGAGCATCTCTGAAAACAGCTGTTCCTCATTAGGCTCAGGGTTAAGCGTGTCGGGTGCAAGGGGTCCGGACGAGATCGCATGAAGTAAAATCGTCATTGTCTAAAGAAAAACATCAAGGAGTGATTGATGCTGTGCAAGCTACACTGCGACTCATAATTATGGTTCCACCTATAAATTTCCCAAAAATATGAATCTGGGGATGTTTTTGAGAAAGACTTCACAGATAAAATGTGACACGTATAAATGCGAATCTGAATATAACACAGAAATCCAGTTTGAAGAAGCAACAATCTTTTATCCTCATTTTTTCGAAAGTATCCGCTTTGCCTATGACGCAAAATCATAGTTCCACCTCATGTTTCTCCGCTGCATTTTGCTTTTACCCAATCAAATTTTGAAATTATTACCCATTCAAGTTCCCTAGCCTATGGCAAAGGCAAAACCGCTGTCAGAGTTCCGTAGAAGGAAATCCTAGAGACGCAGGAATTGTTAAAGCGTCAGCTCACGCTGGAATTTGTTGGGGTGACTTCATAAGGAACAAATTGTTCCAGGATGCTGCAGGATATGATGCCGGGAGGAACCCTGATTACTATCTAATCGAGATAAGCGTCGTATCGTGATAAAATAATGCAACTTTATCCAGCCTGATACGGAAATCAAAACATCTTTAACAGTAATGTCTCGAAGGACGCGTTTCAACGTGTTTTCCAGCACGCAATCAAGAGGAATCTCAAATTGGTCATGTGAATGAGAGGAATGAATTCAAGAAGAAATGCATTTTTGCGCGTCAAATTCATAAACCTGTAAACAGAAAGTCCTGTAAACGTAAAGTTCAATTTGTTGAACCCTTTGACACATGTCGGAAGGAAAGTGATTGCTGATTCCTTTCTATTTGTTTTCTTGCTGCTTTTGCACAAAATCGTCCCTAAAGGAACCAGAGTCGTTGAAAGACTGCCTGTGCTGAAAATGAGAACCACTTGGCGGTACTCGAGCGAAAGACTCAGCCGAGTCATTTTTCAAATACTGAACGAATCAAGTCATTTCAATTACTTTGAATAGAGTAAATCCTAGCTTACAATGCCCTTACGAGGAATGGTCAATTGGTCAGTCCGACCGTTTAAAATGAGATGTAGTCCAATTCAAGCATCTTGCGGCGCTGAGCTCAAACCAGTTTTCGTATCTGCGGAACGATTCTCTGAAAGAAGGGACTTTTCTTTTTATGGCTCTACCACTGTGGCACCCTCTACATCACCCTAATCCTTCTTTATTCCCTGTGCACACTGCGAAAGGCTGTTCTGTTCTGATCACTATGTGAAGAACTATTACATATGGTCGCAAGATATTGAAATTTTGTATGTTTACGAGCCTGTGTCCTTGTGTTTTGTTCCGTGTGTCAAAGTTCATCACAACAGAAAACCTAAAGAAGGACGAGAAGGAAATTTCAAAGTCTGTCTTAGCCATATGTCAAGTGGGGACGCAAATCAACAGAATATCCAAATATAGACACTTTCTGGGCTCTTGTGAGAAGTCAATAAAAAAATGCAAAGATCTTGCGGTTTCAAGGATTCGATCATGTGACCTCTGTCATGTGAGTCTGTCGAGATATCCCCTAAGCCACCTGGCCAATCGGATATCTCTCTGGCTCTTCTTATGCGAACTGTGGGGGATGGCGGATGTATAGGATGCTACAGTGAAAAAGCTACGGTAACATTCCCCCGTAACTTCTTTCAGAGAATCGTTCCGCAGATAACGAAAACGGATTTGAGCTCAGCGTCGCAAGACGCGTCTGTTGGACTATATTTCAGTATAAATGGCCGGACTGACCATTTGAGCATTCCTCGTTAGCTTCACTAATCTGACGAGTTTGAGGAAAGTCATGCTTTCAAAAAAGTGGAAAAACTCATCACAATCAACAAGAATTCTCCTCGTAACCAATCTAAAACTGCACCTCGTAATTGGTTTTCGCAAGTTTAATGCTGGTTGGAAGGGCTCCTCAAAAAACTTGAAATTTTGCTTCAAGATGGAAAATCGTCTACTTCAAAGGAGGTTGTAGTCATTTTAAGACAAATTTCGAGATTAACCATATTAATAGGAAGGACACTATAAGGGAAATTCGTGGGTACCTTAATACACCATGCCAGCTTCGTTGCCCAGGTTCCACGATTAGGGCGCTAGCCGGGTACCCCCCAGGAGGCCCATCGCGCGGCAAGAAGGCCGGGTCGGTGGACGAGTCGCGGCGCGCGATGTGCGGTGAAGGACGTGCAATGGGACATTCTATACAACTTGACGCGATTTCCCTAATACGCGCGCAACTCGTCCGCTGACTCGGCATTCTTGCCGCGCGACGGGCCTCCTGGGGGTACCCGGCGCTAGCCCACCACGAACCTGCAACTATCGACCCTCGATGCAACGCCTTCTACCAGCCGCTCTCGATATAAAGCGTGCTCTCTCGGACGACATGCTCTCTTGCGTGCTTTGTCTTCTTTGATCACCCTGTTTCGTCATCGTACCACATCATAGGTTTGAAGTTGATTTTAGTGTTTCCAATGATTTTTCTTCTTTTCCTTTCTACTTTCAGTTCGTTCAGCAGCTCAGTCATCACTACGAAGCGCCATTTATCCCGGAGCTTGTCTTTCAATATGCGTTCAAGTATCAAGAGTAGATAAACTGCTACGAGATGAACGCCCAAAATAAATCAAGACACAGCTGGAAGCTAAGGCGGTTACAAGGCTTTTGTCAAGAAAAAGGTATATATTGAAGAGCATGCTCTGTGGAGTAGCAAGACTAAGGCTTCCAAAGGAGACAAGGGAAGACAAGATGTTGCCATGGTTTTTATGAACACTTCGTTTTTCTCAATTTGTTGGTACAATTCATTAATAGTGATTTCTGTTCGACTTCTTCTAGTACTTGTTGAATTACTTATGGCGACGCGAGGATTAGCAAGGGCTTTCTTATGAAAGCTTCCGGGCAGGTTTCAACTAATTGTGTGGCTAGGACAGCTTCCTCACCCACCCTATTTCCCTGGCATTGCCTCCTCTAACTACGTCTTATTTCGCCCCCTCAAGACACTCCTAGCTAAAAAAATTATCAATTTGAGGACGTCGGATTGGTGGTCAACGATTCTTCCGACTCCCAGTTTACTCAATTTCAGAGGAAAGGAATCGCCGATCTGCCCGATGGGTGTGACACTGCAGTGGGCAACAGTGGTGGTTATATTGTTGACTGAACTCCATTGTATGCAGAACAAAAAATAATGCAGAAAAACAGCGTTGAACAGCTCAGGACGTTCCTACGATCCTGACATATCAGTTTGAAATAAATAGCAAAGAGTCACGTATCGCTTCAACACACTGCATGACTTCACTGAGTAAAACTGCACATGATCCGTTGTTTAGCGATATCTTGTAACACTTTGAAACTGTGGGACTATTATGCTCTCAGCTTATGGTTTAGGACTGGTTTTGCTTCACGGGCCTGTAGAGCGGCCTTCCTTCATTTTTGTAAAGTGCAGCATTTTTCTTCAAGCGCACAGAATTATTAAAACGAGTATTACCCAGGAAACCGCGATAACATTTGAAAGTACTGCTCAAGCGCATTTATCTTTGTTCTAGCAGAATTTTTCAAGATGATTCAAGAACTATCATAATCTTCAGTCCTCTGGCAAAAGAAAAAGGTCCACCTACTTCAACTCCGGAGCGTTGGAGGCGAGAAACTTGGCGAACGTCGTTGGAGCATCAAATTTGGGTTCACAAGCATTTCTCTTTGAAGAGTCTTTCCTGGTTCTCGGGAAAGTGACTGTCTTTAGGCAAAACGTTTATTGATTATGCTGGTCGCAGCATCGAACAATAACCCAGCTTGTTTCACTTCAAGGTTGGTTGTGCCATGTGCGTCCGAGCCTCATGTCAGAGATGAGTCGGTCTCGTTATGAGGAGTAATAGTGGACAAACGTTTTGAAAGCCTAGGGGTCTCTAAGATATTTAGTAGAAAGCAGACTTAATATCGGTCGAGGGCGGGGGGGTCGTATTTGTCAGCGTGGTTCATAGGGGTCGTACTCCTGGGGAGGGGCAACGTCAGTGGCATCGCGATGCAAATTGGATGACGAGGTGTAGTGCAGCAGAAAACAAGGATATGTGAGAGAATACCATATAATATTCTTTGCAGATTCAGCTGCCCATCCCACTATCTTCAAGAATGAAGTATTTTAAAGTACTACAAAGAATGAAAGTCCATCTTCCACTCCATCAAAGTCAGGAACAGGGTCAAATATGCACACGCGCTGCGAAGACATTTCCTCTACCTACCGTCCGCTCCCTCGCACTCAATACTTCGTTGAGAATGTTAGGAACTGTTGTCGCAAAAACGGCAGCGTTCCTCACAACAGTATCATTCCCAACGAAGGAAGGGGCCTAGCTACTGGAAGCCGCTTAGATTATAGGAGTTACGAAATCTGTTTACTACAATACAGCTTCTGTCAACAGGTCATCATCATATTATAACACCTTTCAATGGATTCTATAACTTCAGTGGAGATCGGATACATGGCCCATACTGAGACTGGACGATGACGATTGCCCCTTTCTTGCCGCTTATGTTTTTTTTTGTTTTGAGAATTTATTCTAGACGCATTTCGGGAGTAGCCGACGCATTAACTTAGAATGGTGAAGAAGGGAACAGCCTCACAGGTGGCCGAGATTCATTCTCGACAGATCCTTGACGCAAATATGCCCTCAACTAGAAAATAAGGAAGAAAGTTCAACAGCTTGTCAGA